CAACACAACGAAATTAGCACAACACAACGGAAACACATCGCACCACAATGAAATTAGCACATCACCACTGAAACAAGCCGCAACACAACAATATTAGCACAACACAATGGGAAAAAGCTGCAACACAACAAAATTAGCACAACACAATGGAAACAAGTCGCAACACAATGAAATTAGCACATCACCACTGAAACAAGCCGCAACACAATGAAATTAGCACATCACCACTGAAACAAGCCGCAACACAATGAAATTAGCACATCACCACTGAAACAAGCCGCAACACAATGAAATTAGCACATCACCACTGAAACAAGCCGCAACACAATGAAATTAGCACATCACCACTGAAACAAGCCGCAACACAATGAAATTAGCACATCACCACTGAAACAAGCCGCAACACAATGAAATTAGCACATCACCACTGAAACAAGCCGCAACACAATGAAATTAGCACATCACCACTGAAACAAGCCGCAACACAATGAAATTAGCACATCACCACTGAAACAAGCCGCAACACAATGAAATTAGCACATCACCACTGAAACAAGCCGCAACACAATGAAATTAGCACATCACCACTGAAACAAGCCGCAACACAATGAAATTAGCACATCACCACTGAAACAAGCCGCAACACAATGAAATTAGCACAACACAACAAAATTAGCACAACATAATGGAAACAAGTCACAACACAACGAAATTAGCACAACACAATATAAACAAGTCGCAACACAACAAAATTAGCACAACACAACTGAAACAAGCTGCAACACAATGGAAACAAGCAGCAACACAATGGAAACAAGCAGCAACACAACGAAATTAGCACAACACAATGGAAACAAGTTGCAAAACAACAAAATTAGCACAACACAATGGAAACAAGCCGCAACACAAAAAAATTAGCACAACACAATGGAAACAAGTCGCAGCACAACAAAATTAGCACAACACAATGGATACACGCCGCAGCACAACAAAATTAGCACAACACAATGAAAACAAGTCACAGCACAACAAAATTAGCACAACACAATGGAAACGTGCCGCACCACAACGAAATTAGCACAACACAATGGAAACAAGTCGCA